GTCTTCAGGCAGCTCGCGACGATGGTTGACAGAGTTTGCTTCATAACGGATCAGCATCTTGCCTCGCAAACGAGTGAGTAGCGAAGATTGCGTGCCACTTTGGGATTAATATCCGAAGCTGCAGTAGTGATCGGAGACAGCTAGCAAACAACGGATGCGTCAACCGACTTTGCGTACCGTCCACGGGCCGCGTTGCCGCCTACTTCGGTAGTTATACGGGACACTATCTGTCTCATAGCAGCGATGCTTGAGACCGTGATAGTTCACAAAACCGCGAGCAGAATGATAACGCAGCCAGACACCTGGCCAGCAATCAATGAACAAGCAACATATTGAGGTCCAACAACCGTCCAAGCCATGCGGCTGTGTGGACAACTTGAAGTACGAGCCGTGTTGTCTATTAAGGATGTCATTTCAAAGTCCCCGACTCACTTGTACAAGCAGCAATCAGGACCACGGACTCCGGAGGCCGTGCGAGCATATGGCAGAATTTGAGAGCCACGCGGAAACCGGGTTTTGCTCCGGTACTGAGGGGCGGAGCATTGAGTTGTGGGCCATTCATCGGTCAGTGTACAAAGTGACTCGGCTTTTCATCGAGATGACTTCTGCGGCTTTTGCATTTGGCGCGGAATCCTGACGTGTGCCATTTGTGCCAGTGCGATGCAGACACTGGCAATGAGATCTGAAATCCAAGTGACCGTATACGGAGTACTCAGCATGTGCAGCGACTCCGACGAGACGGCGGCGGCGATTGGACGTCTGCGGTTTGGGCGCAAATGAAAGACTCGTCAAATTGCCATTGGTCCCCATGCCAGCTTCTGCGACGCTACCTTTTGCTAGTGGCAGAAATCCTAGGGCGTCATTTCAATGATTCGAACGGATGCTATGGGCCATGCTTCTTCTATTCATTTAAAGGTCTCTCCCGCGGCTGTGACAGAACCACGGTTCAATTGCGTACCGAACATGTCGACCCACAAGCCTGAATGCCACTATCATTTCAGTCGCGCCACATGGCAGAAGTGAATTGGCGTCACCTGCTCGAATATGAGTCAATGGCTGCAAGGAGGGGCCGGTCAGTTGAGCAGCGCCGATGGTGAAACACTAATGATCCAGCCCTGGAAAAAACTCGAACAATCACGGAACCCACAAGGCAACAGTAGAGACAACAAGCTCACCTGCACGTACGGCGTCCACTCAAGAATTTCAACTTCAATGACCCATGCCCTCGGACCGTCGGAAGTGTATTGCTACTAAACCCATGGTGCGCACTGTGACTGCTGCGACCGGAGCACAGATTGATGACTTCTGGTCGCGCAATCTTTCCTAGGCAGACATGATAGTCATTCTCGACACAGAGTAATCTTTAGCGGTTATGAAGGGCATACCGAGATGATGTTAGTGGCCGGTTTCGATGCTGACGGAGAAGTTTCAGATTGCGGTCGCTGATGATGGTGTCAACTCGGACTACGAGGATCACGTAACTGAGAGACTCACATGCCACCGATACGGAATTGGCAGCGCTCAAGCTTGATATCGAGGCAAGCGTGACAGCAATGAATATGACCACTGACAGACTCGAATAAGAAGGAAACTTACACGCGCACGGTCAGCTCGTCCCCTAGACTCGGAGGCATGCATGATGGCTCTCCATCGTGTGATACTGGCTACTGTAACCGTTCCGGAAGCGGGAGGAAATTCACGGTTCAACCATGCCTCTGGCCATTGAGCGCTATTGCCGCGGCGTCGGGTCGTCCTGGTCTTCGAGCTTCAAGTATCGACTGAGATGCGGCGTCCCCGTATCATCGTGACAATACCATCGCCTACTCGCTACATAGTACGAATGCAGGCCTCGATTCCCGACTAGCTCATTACATCTGCATCATTCTTTCAGGCTTTCGAGAGATTGAGAAATAGTTTTGCGTCGAGGAATGGCCCGGTAATTGCCTGTCCATGAAAACCGACAAACCCATTAAGCAGTGCTGCTGCATCCGGTGATATCATCGGCGTTCGCCCCATCGACATCGAGTTGTTCTCCACTGCTGCCTAGATTTGAGGTTGGGTCCACGGTCACGGTCAGAGCTTATCAAGCAATTGCATTGAACACACCTGTCGCCTGCTCACTGTTGACTGTGTGCACTTGTTCGAATCTAAGGGAGGACGCCTCGATAGTAGTATTTGGAAGCCGATCAATGTCGCCGGATGTGCTTTGGGACCCGATGTATGCGCGATCGGACGTTTCCCGCAAATTGATCAGAAATCGATACATCAACACCGATTGCAGTCTGCGACCATGTTATCAGCCTTTGCGGTAATAGAACTTGGATGGAGAGACTTGCGGCGTGTCCAGGCTAGCAAGATAATCAATGTTCTGAATTGCAATACGTCATTGTGTGAACGACCATTTGGGAGTTTGGTACTTACTAGTACGTGGAAGCACACGCCGGCGATGAAAACGAGGAGATTCACTGAGAACACAGCTCTGATGCAGGGTTATTGACGGTATGATATCAGTAGAACAGGAACATACACAAAGTAGAAGGTCCCTGTAACACATCGTTGGGAAGTTCGTAATCAACGAATGTAGCCTCCAACTGCTTCTATTTAGGGGCTTACCATCTCTGAATAGAAGCCAGACAATGGAACGGGTACTCGACTGCCAGTGTCTCCACCCTTGGAGTCTGATTAATCCTGACATGTGCACCCACGTTACAATAATGACGATTAGATCGGCCAGAATGTTGCATAAGACGACAATGATAGTCGCTGAACGAGTGAAGTCATGAGAAATCATAGTGCTTCGATGTGAGTCAAATACCTCTGCAAATCATGACTCAAAGTCAGTGATGATTCGTCAGCAATTGTGACTCGTACAGCTCACGTTGTGTTAAACGACGCGGAGACGTTCGTTGACACGCTGCATATCCAAGAGGATTGGATTTCATCAACCCGATAGTGAGCTTGGGATATGAGAAACTTGGTATCAGAGTATGTTGGGCTAATGTCAGCGTCGTCTTGTTCTGAACAGAGACTGTATGCGCACCACAGTGAGAGCAGCGCTTGATAGGCCAAACACTGACGCTATAACTGTCCAATGCCACTGGCCACTGGTGACAACGTATGCACGAACAGCGGTAATAGCTGTACAGAGTCACGAAGTTGTCAGTGGATGTAACGGATATTCCCGTTACGGCATATCTTATCACACATGTTTGGTTATGTTTGATCACAGTCTCGTATGGCGTGCCAGCACATCTACTACGCCTTAGCCTTTTACTCGTCACCGCCTATGTATGCATTACTGTAGACAGATCTCCTTCAATAGAGACTGGGTACAGCGCATATCGGGCACGACGAGTGAGGCGACGTTACACTTTTTTGCGCTCCTCCTCACTAGGACTTCTATTCTGGGGGATCTACTATTCTAGGCAACAACCTCGAAACTCGACTTCGACATATATCTACTCGACGTCAACAACTCTATGCTATCTGGATCACTCTAGTCGACGTCACTATTACTCAAGAATGGTTGAGTCGACGACCAACACTCCCGAGCATTCGCACAGCAGTCGCGAGTCGCGCCGCGAAAAGCGGCATGCGATTCGCGCGAAGCTCAGGGCTCGGGTGGCCGAAATACGGGCCACCCACAACATCCAAGCCGAGACTCTCGGTAGCCACCAGCAACTCAAGACTGCCGTGACTCCGAGATTCGACTTCGATACTGCCATTGAGCAGTCGAAGAGGGACCATGAGGATCTGATGAAACTCATGGACCAAACGTTCGACTGCTTACTGGAGCGGGATTCCAGGCGCCGCCATCGCGCGACCCGCCGGACTGAGTCCTCCAACCCCGAGGACTCAGCCGAAGCACTATCAGGGCAGGCACCATCCGACCGTGAGGTCGAATGCACAGTACTCGCAGAACGGCTCGAGCCCAAGGTCGAGCTCGTTCAGAGCTGCCAGGAGAGCCTGGCCCCGCCTGCTCCAGCTGAGGTGCAGGAGCTAGGCAGCACTCCGAAGAATGGTACGCGCGTTGAGCCCGACAGCGCCGCCGCTGTCGAGTCCGTGTCTGAGCCTGGCAAAGAGCCGCGCACTGAGCAGATCGAGCCCGACATCGAGCCCGCTCAGAGCTACCCGGAGACTCCGTCTCCGTGTGCTCCCATTCAGTCGACCAAGCTCGGTACCACTCTCAAGAGTGGTGCACGCGCCAGGGTCGAGGACGCCACGGCCGCCGAGAACGAGCCCACGCCCCAGTTGCACGACAAGGCGACTCGGTCCCGCGCCCGGGAAGGCATAGGGACACAACTTTATGTCGTGTCCCCGCATGTAGACGAGCTCCCGCTCGTGGACCCGCATGTCGCGTGCTCAGAAATGAGCCGTGACTCAAAAAATATATTACTCGAGCCGGACGACGCGCCCGACACTGGCCGCATCGCGCTCGACGCTCAGCGCGTCGAGCATCCCGAGCCCGCGCCGAGAGCGAGCACTCCCAGCGTTAGCGCTGGAAGTCCTCCTCTTGATGCTAACCGCCACCTCGATCTTCACTCTGGCAGCCACCGCCTGCGCGCAACCACACCTCAAATGTGGTGGCACTTCCCAATGGAAGTGCCAAACACGGACTGCCTTAGGACAGCTGAACATTACCGGGTTCAGCTGAAGGATCGACCGGTCAGTACCGACCGCCATCTCGCAGTCGATACTCCCTCTGGCGACGACCAGTCGCGTGCGACCGCTCTCCAGGAAGATGTGCACTCCCTGCCGGAAGTACAAGGCTCCGGACCTCTCGAGACGACTGAACCGCGGGCGGTTCAGCTGACAAGTCCGCGGCAAGACATCGACCGGTTCTACGAACGGGTCGATATTGCTCATCCTCAGGACAACCACGAACGCCCGGTCGGCGGGGCAGATACGCGCGCTGTCCCAAGGGACACGCAAACTCGCGTTCGCGGACGACTCGCTGAACTATCCCTAGTTCAGCTAGCGGCGCTCAACGACCTGGCACCTCACGGTACCAGACCGGCGGCTCCTCCTTCTACGGCCACTCTCCTTGACTCTCGCGACCCCGCTTCTGACTCGAGAAGCCCTGTTCTCGGCACTGGCACCCTCTATTCGACCATCGACGGTTCCGGCGACACGCAACAAAGCCGCGCGGCCCAGGACTCGCACGACGCGCGTGCAAGTCCAGCGCCGAGCAACAAGATCGAGAAGAACGTACAGAACGAGGAGCGAACAGGAACCAGGGAGATTAGGAAGAGAGAGGAGGGGGAAGGGTACGGGGCGAGCAAGAAGAACGAGCACAGAGGCTCAATGAACGCAGGGAATACGCCTGTGATACGGGACGACCTCGCGGTCGTACCGTCTGTTCCGCAAGGCGACATGACGGACGAGCAGCATTGCTCATTCGACGTGTCCCAGTCATCTGTACACGCTACCGGTGAGTACAGAGTGTCGACTCGGAGAAGAAAAAGTACGCCCTCAGCGGACGTACTTACCTCGACATCTGCCATGCCTACGTTAGCGTGCGTAACAGCGAATGTAGAGCCTGTCGTGCGCAACGCCCGCGGCTCGTCGGGCCACCGTCTCTTCATCTCCGCCTCCATGATCACAAATGATCATGGAGACGACAGCACGTCCACATCTCGGGACGACCTACAGGTTGTACCGGGATCCGTCATTATTCAAGGCGGAGTCGGGTACGCACGGCGTTCTGAGCAGCCTGAGATCGCCATGGGGTCTGCTCAATGCCACCCGGAGGCATCATCCCAGGGTGTCCGTGCCCAAGCAACGAAGCCAGGCATCACCCCGAAGGATGATGCAGGCGCCGAGCTCGAGGACACGTCCATCATCGAGCTCGCATCCGAGCTGAGCGAGTGGTGCGTCGAGTCGACGCATCTCCGCGCTCGGGAGGGCATAGGTACACAGTACTTCAATAGCACTGTGTACAGCGGGAACGAACCCGCGTATGTAGATACAATCGTCGCGTGCTCAGAGATGAACAGCGACACAAGATATATATTATACGAGGGGCACGCCACGACGAGCAGCCTGCTCGGCGCAACACGCGACGCGCTCAACGCTACTGGCGTTGAGTGCCACGAGTCTGTGGCGAGCTTCCCGAGCGCTAGCGCCCACTGCGCTGCGCTGAGCCTCCACCGACCCCTCGTTCTCGACCCCTTCCACTCTCAGGGCAGCCACCACGAGCGCCCGTCTGGCGAACCAGACGAGCGCACCGTCCCAACGCGAGCGCGGACGCGCACTCACGACTGGCTGGCTGAACTGCCGCCAGCCCAGCTAGCGGCGCCCGACGACCTGGTACCTCGCGGTACCAGATCGCCACTTCCTCCCTCTTTGGCTCCTCACCCCACCCCTCTCGGCTCGCGCCTTGACTCTGGCGACCGCTATCGCGGCTCTGGCGACACGAAGCCCAGCCGCGCGACCCAGGACTTGAACACCGCGCGTTCAAGCCCAGCGCCGAGCCGCAAGGTCGAGCGGACCACGAGGAACGCGGATAGTGGAGGTTGCGAGGAGATCCCGAAGGAACGAGAAGGACGCGAGGAAGGTACGAAGGGAGAGAGGGAGGAAGGGTGCAGGGCGAGTAGGGAAAGCGAGCAGGAAGGCTCGCAATTCGCAGGTACGCCCTTACTGGACGTACCCGACTCGCCTCTGCCTGCGCCAGTACCCCCGCCAGCGTGCGTATCGACGAACACGGAGTTCGTCGGGCGTACCGCTGGCCACGAGACCAGGACCACAGCATTAGGGGACGACCCGCGGGTCGTACCCTTGTCTACGCATAACAGTACGACGGACGCGCAGCACCACACGTCCGACGTACCCCACTCTCCACTGCCTCCTTCTCCGATGCCCGCACGAACAGGCGTATCGACGAACGCGAAGATCGTCGTACGTCCTGTTGGCCACGCACATCGCATGCACGGGCCCTGGTACAACCTACAGGTTGTACCGGGCAGTACGCATGGCTACACTGCGGACACGCAGAACCACACGTCCGACGTGCCCTGCGCCTCCATGGACACTCCCAGAACTGCAGCAACAAACGGAATGTTCGTTGTACGCACGGGGGGGCACGAGGATCGTGCGGAGGCGACGCGGGACGACCTAATGGTCGTACTCTCGGCTCCACGAGGCGGCACACCTGTGCTACGGGACGACCTCATGGTCGTACCACTCATCTCGCAATGCGACACGGCAGACGCGCAGTACTGCACGTCCGACGTGCCCCACCTTTCCACGACTGGGCGCCGAGTAGCGGATACGCCCCAGATGGACGTATCCATCTCGATGCCACTTCCATTGGACGTGCCCGCGCTAGCAAGCGTGACGACGAACGTGAAGTTCGTCGGACGTGTTGCTGGCCAGGAAGACTACACGATAGCGCTGCGGGACGACCGCGAGGTCGTACCGTTCAACTCGCAAGGCAACACGGCGGACAAGCAACACTGCATGTCCGTCGTGCCCCATCACTATACGACCGACTGTCAAGTGATGAGTACGGCGTGCATCCTGCCCGACGCACACGCTACCAATCAGCACGACGGGTCAACAAGTGAAGGTACATCCATGAGGGATGTACCCACTTCGACACATGCCATGTCCGTGCCTGCGTCCACACCAGTGAGTGTGATGACGAACAGGGAGCCCGTCGAGAGCAATGCCTGCGACTCGTCGGGCTACCGTCTCTTCATCTCTGCTTCAATGATCGCGAGTGACCATGAAGACGGCACTTCCGCCCCCAGGTACGACTGCGAAGTCGTACCGGATGTCCCACGGGATAGCACGTCTGTGCTACAGGACGATCTCGCGGTCGTACTTTACAATTCGCAAGGATGCACGATGGACTTGCAGCGATGCATGACCATCGTGCCCCAGCCCACCTCGACTGCCACTAGTGCAGCGGGTACGTCTAGCTCATTGCTCGACGTACAGGGGGATAACAATCACCATTCCCCGTCCATCACTGATCGCTTGTCGGACCGTAGCATCACGCTAGCATCGGCGTCCCAAGACGGATTGCACTTCCGTGAGGAAGTGCAGGTCTCCGGCGGCTTCGACACAGCTGAAACCCCTGTGGCTCAGTTGGCAAGCCTTAACCGCCACCTCGACTCCTCCAGCCACCACTCTCTCCGTGACCCCGGCGCCCCGACGAGCGCGCAGCCCGATGATCACGTATCTCCGAGCGACGCGCGAGCTCGAGATCGCGGCCCAACTGCTGCACTACGGACAGTGCAGCGGCCGGCGCTTACAGACCCCAACCGACTAGAATGGCCTCCCGACCGTCAACCCGGCGAGAACTTCACAGTTCTCGCTGACGGCTCGTTTCTAGGGACCTCCACCCAATTTCATACCGACCTCTCCGCGGCCCCCGATATCGCCGGCGACTACGACAGGCACCACGGGTCGCAGATCGCGTACGAACTCTGGAGACCGTGTGTAGGACGGAAGGGCCAGGACGGGGTCAAGGGAGATGTGGGCGATGGTACGGAAGCCAGAGAGAGAGTCGAGGAGGGTCGTGCAGAAGGAGGAGAGGGGGAAGGGCACAGTGTAGATGAAGAAGACGAGCCACCGTGCTCGGAAAGCAAAGACGAGCCGGAGGACCAGTACGTCGTCGTACAGGACAACGCACTCGAGACCCGGACACAGGCGACCGTCGCACCGAGGTGCACTGTGCGGTGTGCGGTCAAGTACCTCAGGGTACTTGACACCCTTGATGGCAAAGACCTATGCGGATGCAAGGCCGAACTCGACGTAGTCATGTCGAGTACAGCAAGCGAGCGGGCAGGCTCCAAGACCGACAGTACGCCCTCACTGGACGTACTCACGTCGCCGCCGTCTTTCGTGCCAGGACTCGTACTAGTAAGCGTATCGACGAACAGTGTGTTCGTCGTGCGCACCGCTAATTACGACCGCACGTATATTCCTGTGGCAATCACCGCGTCTTGCACAGAGAGTACGTCCAGCCTGAACTCGAGGTCCGACGTCCCATCCGCTGAGGACTCGGCATGGAGACCTGAGACTGGCCATATGTCCCGCTGCACTACAGCTGTTGTTGCCCGCTTCGTCGCCACCGTCTTCCGCTGTCGCCACTGCCGCAACACTGTACAACGACCTCATTACCCGCTATCGACATCACGTCCCGCCGTTGCTACTACCGCCACTGCTGATGCCACCACCATTGTCCGTCCTGGCGCCATGGTCATACCATCGACATCGTCATCCCAGCCATTGTCGTGCTGGCCACTGTCGCTCCTGCCACTGTGTTCCGCTCTGGCCACCACAACACTGCGCAATGCAACAAGCCCATTTGTCACGTCCCGGTTTGCATAACTCCATCGAGTTATGCATGACAATGGTGGCGGCCGTGCTGCTCACTGATGCGAACTTGCGAGTCGTTGTCTACAGTACGGCACCACCTTTGTTTTGCCGGTCGCTACTATCAATGTGTTGTCGCGTGTATGATTCCATTCCTATTCTCTTTCCTTTTTGTTTCTCTGGTTATCGCTGGGACCCGTGGTCGTGTCCAGTGGGGGAGAGTGTAACGGATATTCCCGTTACGGCATATCTTATCACACATGTTTGGTTATGTTTGATCACAGTCTCGTATGGCGTGCCAGCACATCTACTACGCCTTAGCCTTTTACTCGTCACCGCCTATGTATGCATTACTGTAGACAGATCTCCTTCAATAGAGACTGGGTACAGCGCATATCGGGCACGACGAGTGAGGCGACGTTACAGTGGATATCTGAGGATCTGAACCTCACAACACCTGACCGGATATGAGCACCATCGCAGTAGCGCAGAGTGCGTTACTTGAGTTGACTACAGCAGAGCACCTAGAACATCCAAATGTAAGGACTGATATCCTATTGAATACGCAAAGCTGATCTCACGTCGTGACCTTTCCCGCATCAGGTAAAGTCGGCATTTTGGCGATGCTACCAGAGTGAAGATTTACTCACAGAGTTCCCGAGATTTGGGACGTAGTTTTCAAGGAAAGTTGTTACGATGATCCCAAGGACAGATAATCGCAGCAAGAAGAAAACAACCCTGGCGGCCACTGATCCTTTGCGCCAGAAGAACTCGATTTCATCGCCAAGCGTCAGAACGTAGTCGTAGGTCAGGAATGCTATAACACAGCATTACAATCAGTACTCAAAGACGGCGCATACGCAGTTCTCGAAAACTAACCGATGATTGCTCCATAAAGGCAGGTTTCCACAAATCTGCGTGATTAGTCTTAATGTATTGTGAGCGACATACAAAGAGAGGCCGTCTTACACGCTTCTCAATGCAGGTATTACTTCCGCTGGAACGCTTGACATTGTGTCCCAGAGCGCGGTGCGACGTGCAGATTCTGAGACGTCGACCCATATAAGCATGCTATGCAGCGCGCCTAACGTGCTTTCGGACACCACTGATAGATTGTCGACAAGGTTTGCGGATGTACCCGTCTCTTTGACGGCCCTCGAAATTGAACTGATCAGAATTGAAAGACTCTCGATGGGTCCATAGCGCTCGAAGCCGCGTAAAGGGGGATTCCAAGGCTCCAAATCTTTATCTGCGCCTTCCGCAGTGCACGAATCCCCTGCCTCTATTGGCACCATGGACCTGAAACCGAAGCATATGGATACGGATCCAACAGATTAGAAGTCCTGAACGGACGGAATAATTAGTGTTGCGTTTGAGATCATATCAATCTGTCACAAACGCTCGGCCGCTATCTAGTACTTCTTGAGACTTGAGCTTGAGGGCTGCTCTCAAAGTAATCGGCACCTTCAAGTCGGGGCGCCCACGACCACCGTCATAGTCATCCTCGTTCGGTTTGGAAGGCCGTGCTTGTTCGCCTGCACTGTCCTGTCGACTGTGTTGAATGTTGAACGAACGAACAAGCATGGTAGGTCAAACAACGTACGGCATGAGACATTTGTAGTGATTTGCTGTAGCTTCTGCGAACTATCAAGACATGTAGACGGACGCACACTGGCATGAAGTCGCAACAATAAGTCTTCCGCAATGAACAGCATCGACCACATCCAGACTGCGGATGGTGGCATGAGCTAGTACGTTGGTCGATGACATACGTCCGAATCTGCTGATTTCTTTGATAGACCGACATACCTCCAGTGATAACTCACAGGGAAGATGTGATGAAGCGGAACGGTATGAGCGAATTCGAACTGTAAGCGATACGCATGTAAACCGCATGAACGATGATAACTGACTCGCAGACGCCGTAGCTTACAAGAGTCATTCGCAACGGATCTTGTCAGCAATTGGACCGCAGGGGGACCCTAGCCTATGACACAGCGAGCAGGAGCAGAGTTGGGTCGCAGCTGACGACCAACGATCATAGGAGAGGGCTCTGCGGCAACTTCTGTAATCTGGTGCCGGGGCCGTCAAGTGCATACGTCGAGAGTTAGGGGTTTGAACGGGCCATCGCAGCCATAATTGATGTTGAACGCCTACCAATCCAAGAGTGAAAACTGTGGGAGGGAAGATAGTCAGATGAACACACATCCGCCATTTAATCGATGATCCGACTTACCTCCATTGATGTACGGTAGGTAGTTGGATGAGACAGAATGACGTGAGAGCTAACTCAAGATGACATGGACAACAGTTGATACACACCCCGCACACTCCATGAGAAGTGATATACCGGCGAACGCGGTGAGCGTCGTTTACAGCAATAGGGCGACCTGGATCGTGACTAGGGGTGTCTTGAGAACAGTTCGGGTGGGAGAACGCGTACGGGAGAAGGTCTGAGGGTTAGGACCGCTGTCAATGCGACGCCCCTTGACTTTGGTTGTAATCACTAGTTAGCCTGTGCTTCTGACATGGCGTGCCAGCCAATTGCGCAATGTATGCAAACGAACATTGAAGCGCATCCTCCTCCGAGTCCAGCGCTCATCTCTTCTCAGGTCTCCGGCAACGCCCGGGTTCTTTCGCGCCACACTGGCACTGGCAGCCGTCGCACTGGCAGTGGTAGTACTCACTGTAAACCACATCGCTTTCGACTCCGAGTCTGTGTATGTGCAGGAAGCTCAGCGACGATGTGTCATAGCACATATGCAGAACGCGCTCCTCTTCAAGTTAAGAATAAGTACTGAAGTATCTTCTGCTAGTGTGTCTTCCAAGTGTCTTCGGGTATTATAGTACCGGTGACTTGCAGTGCGACTCATGGGTCCGTTGTTTCTCCTTCAAGGGCACGCATGTTGTCCCTCGTACATATGTCGCCGACAACGAGCCACTCGTGGTATCCCACCCATCGCACGCCCCGAACCTGGACTGTCCGTGCTGCTGTGTATCATTATACCCTCCACGACGCTTTCGTTCTTGTTCTTCTACACGCTAAGTTGTACACAGCATCTTCGCAATGTATATTACGGTCATAATTCGACGACTTCCAAATGCATTGATTGATTGACGAATCACCTCGTCTATCCAAGGCACTACGCTGAGGGCGAGTGTATTTTTCATTCCATATATAGCCCAGATACCCCTTGTCATTCAATCCTTAGATCGTAACAACTATGCTGCCTCTGATTGGGGGTTGTCATTCTCGGTGTCGTTGCCTCCTGTCTCCGTTTGATTGTCACCTAATGCCCGCAGTTTAGCCCATCTTCAACCTCAAATTAGTGACGATGAACGCACGTGTTTCTTCCTCGTCTCTGAGAGTGCTACCATCACGGAACCTAAGAGTCGAGGATTCGACGGCAGGATCAGACCGATCCCAGATCTCAGCAGACGTGCTTTGGGATCCTATAATGATGTTGCCGCCAGCCAAGGACGCATGCCGTAAGTTGATCAGAAGCCGAGTCACCAGGACCAGTTTTAGGCTGCCAGTCGCGCTATAACATAAGCACCCGTGGTCGTGATGATTATCAGCATAGGACTCACGGGAAGTTCAGGCTGCTAAGCCAGTTCAAATTCTAGGCAGGACATGTTATTAGCCTCAAAGTCCACTGGACGTGTGTGTTTTGACGCACGTTGGACCATGCGCCAACCACACAAAGGACGAGATTTAGGGAAAACATCGCACTAAGGCAGCATTAGTGACCATCGACGCTAGAGCCATAAGTTTAATAGATACGCACAGGAAATACATATTTCCTGGATGAGATCGACGTGAAAAAGCATCTTCAGTTCACCACCCCCTATGTGTAGCGGTAGATATTACTGACCATCTCTGAATAGAAGCCAGGCAATGGAACGCGGCAATAGTCGCATTCTCCGTTGGACTCTGACACAGTGGAATGTGCATACCCACGTCACGATGATGAGGACTAGATCGGCCAACATGGTGCATATCAGCGCAACCAAAGTCCCTTAGAGACAACATAATGAGGCATGGAAGACGAGTAAGCCCGTGGCTAGACCAGGTAGTACCTCTATCGAGTCCGACGGTCAGTGGCAAATCCACGACCTGGGAGTGTGACCTACATTGTATTTAATGTCGCGGGCGTGGTCTCGGATATGCTACAAACCCATGAGTCTCCAGATATGACGAGCTGGTACGAGGTTGCATAAGTGGTGTACTTGAGAATGTATGAGGTGAGAGTCAATTCTTAGTCCAAAATAAGGGTCGAAACGTACACCAATCCAACCAAGGTTGGTTAAGTTTAGTATCAAGGTGACACTGATCCACGCCCATTTGCCTCCGCTGACTACATATACACGCATGGCAGTGACGGCTGAAGCGGCCAGATGATGACCCGGGATTCAGTGCATGTCTGACACTTTCTAGTGAGAGCACTCTTACCCATGATGACGAGAGTTCCAATGAACCAGGATGCGTTGCTAGCATTGTTTGCAGCTGCACAACTGGATGCTCCATGGTAAGAAGAGTCGTTTGCACCGACACAATTGTGTATCACCCACCCCCCAAGCTTGTGTTGATAATGGTCAGTGTTTGGGCAGTGTTGCTCATGCTCATGAAAGGGGCACTCACCGTCATAATGGACGCGTATGAACTAAAGGCGGCCGTGATCACATATCCAAGAACAGAGGTCCGCAGAAGGAAGAACACAGCTTTGCCTACCGAAGCACCTCGCTGGCACCAGAAGAGATTCACTTCGCTTCCGAGGGTAAGAACATAATCATAAGCAAGGAACACTAGAGCCACGTATCATGGTCATGTCATGATGAACTCAAGCAGACGCTGATGCACGAACCGACGGTTGCTGCAGAAACACAATTTTGGATGAAACTGAAGTGAGTGAGGTCAGGCATGTACAACAGATAGAAACAACTTCACTCACACGCCGCTCGCAAGAGCTATAGCTTCTGTGGATGTGAGACTTGACATCGTGCAGTGTGATGCTTAGCAAGGACATGCCAGTTTCACTGCAGCGGACCTATATACTGTCTGGCGTGGGTCTTCAAGCAGCTGGCGATGATGGTTGACAGAATTTGTTGCATAACGAACTCGAATCAGCATCTTGCCTTGAAGATCGGTGTGAGCGGTGAGATTGCAGACCACTTTGGAATTAAGTTTATCCTGAGCTGCAGAAGTGAGAGACGGCTGGTAAAACAACGAATGCGCCAACGAGCTGTGCGTACCCACGGGCCGCGTTCC